TTCATAGAACCACTTTTATTGGTCCCACATTTTATTGTAGCAATATGTTCTAAGAATATTACTGGAACATTGTGTTATTACATTCCCTGGCAACCTAATAAGAACCTCAGGGGAATGTTCTGTGGTAGTTTTTACAGATGTTATGCACAACATTTTTGTGAATGTTAGAACATTCCAAGGTTATTTAATGTCAAACATTTTCTTAGAAAAACATTTAATCAAAAACATTCTTGGAACGTTTGTGGGATGTTATCATCCTAATGTTAAATCCTAACTAGAACATAATGGGAACGTTAGCTATTGTCCTGGGAATGTTCCCGGTTTGCTATTGTGGACGCTTATAGACAGTGTCATAACACATTATAAAGCCTGTTTTAAAGCGTTACACGTTTGGTCATCATAGAAAGTGTTACCGAAAATACAAAACAGAAAACATATTACAGAGTTTATAGACAGAATAGGTAAATACGAGGAGAAGTAAGTGGAATATAGAGGAAAACAGTTAGTTGTAGTAATAGTTGTTAGACCATGCAATATTTCCCAACGTACCATCCTTTGTATGATTGCAATGCAATGCAAATATGGGTCCCACTTTAAATTACGTTTAGCTTATAAAGGCCTCAGAAAGCCTTCATAATGCCTTCATAAGCACTACATAAATGTGTTACAAAGCATCTATAACCGTATGTCATGCTTTATAAAGGGTTCATAAATGTGGCATAACTGTGTGACATAATAACCAATGTCAAATGTGACATAACCCACTATGTGACATAAAACACTTTATTAAGGGTGACATGTTGTGCTGAAGGATGGCATATGCTTTAAAGTGATGTCGTGTTAGTCACATTATACCTAATCTCGTTCCCAGACACTTCCGCCCAAATGTGCGGAAGGATCTGGTGGACCAACGCATCAAACTGGGCCTTCATTAGTTAGAGTTAGGTTTAAAATCAAATTTGAAGAAGATACATTGTGGAAATGGGCAGGGCTTAGCCATAATTATGACTTTTTGACTGTGTTAAGTAGTGACGATGACAAATACTTTACTCAGTAAGGTTACTCCTATAAAATTCTATGGTCACTCCCACTAAGGCCAAATTTGAATGGTTAATATCCCAGGCTTATATGTGCCGTGTGTGCAATAGCCTGGGGACAATGTTACACCAAGAAACACTTACCTTGATGAAAGCCTCCAACCTAAAGAAATGTTAAGTGTCTAACTTCTGGAACCAAGTTACATGTTCCTCAGTACACAAACATGCACACAACAGAAACAAACCATACCTCGCTGACACATTCACCCACTCCCCCGCTGAAAGATCAGCCACAAAATGTTGTCACCATTGTAACAGGTTGTAATCAAGCCCTTGTCTCCAGCATGGGAACATAAGAGGAATACCTGGTGTGGTGGTCTTAGGTTGGACTACTCCAAATCATCTTGGTTCTGACACACACACACACTCAAACACAAGCTTTGCAGGTCCATCAACCCATTTAAATACCTCTCACACCCTACAGTAACCTGTGGATCATGAGAGAACCTTCATAAATCAGCAGAACGTTAATAACCTATTTATTGACACTTTGTGTAGTGTCCTGTAATATTTAGTTTGAAGTGAGAAACCTTCGGTCATTCATAATACATCCATAGACTCTATATCGCATGACGCTGTACTTAATTTAAAGTCACACCCCTTTGGTCATTTTTAACTCATACATAAATGCCTTGTCTGACTATATAATATATGACGCTGTACTTATTATATAGTCAGACCCCTTTGGTCATTTATAACACATACATAAAGGCTTAATGATGTAAACACAAATGTATTAACACTAACAGCTAAAACAAATAAACATTAAAGACATGTTTAAACAACATAATTCATTTTATTTGTAAAAAAAAATTAACAATACAAATACATTAAGTTAAAAAAAGTCCAGAAATGCAATTACATTGAACATTACAAAACAAGGCTGTGAATAGTGAAGCTTGTCCCTGAGCTGGCGGATGAATGGTTCTTGGCTCTCTGCCTGCTAGAGGTACTGCATGTTGGTTCCACCCTTAAAAGTAACAACAAAGAAAGTTAGCAGGTCTGTTAGGAAATACCTTTGTCACACCATCTGGATAAGGGCATTTCTGTATTGCGCCAGAAACTGTAAATGGGGAGATGGGAAACTCCATTCAATTAGTATTATTATATTCCTCTTTCATTTACAAATCTCATGACGTGACTATGAGAAATGACTATCTAGGGGGATTTGTATTTAGCTGAGCCTGCTAGCTAGCTAAATTATTTGAAATAACGATTGAGGTAGCTACAGTATGTAATCTAACTCAACACTTAACTTCTACAAACTAATTTAAATTACAATAAATAAAGGTTAACTTACTTGTTTTTCACTGTCCAGTGGCAGCACAAGTGGGGTATTTGATTTGCGAACTCATCGCATGATCAACATCTCGTCAGCAGCACTACAAAAGTACTTCTGGGTCAAGGAATCTCTGAAATTCCCCCACGTAATAGTAGAAAAGTCTCCATTTATGATATATGACAAATAATTGTCGAAACATTAACAATTATTCATATTTGTTCATGTTTAAGTGACATGTGCATAGAATGTGGGTTTTAAAACATGTTCCAAGGTCAAATACATGCCCCCAATGCGAATCACTGTATATGTAATACAAATTAGTTTAGAGCAAGAATTATTCTAGGTGCCGCAGTAAAAGTATTGTAGGGAATACTCAGTATGGTCTGTAGAATGTGTATTGTATATGCTGTCGTTTCATGGGGCTCTGAAGTGTTGCTGGCCATTTATTACACCAATTTCATTGCCGGCCGAATCACATCACTACAAAAAAAAAAACGCTAACCAAACAACAGTGCATGGCATGCTCACAGAATTAAAGGGCCACTACACTAAAAAATCTAAGTTTCTTAGATTTTTCCCATACCTCAAAAGTTATCCCCTGATGTTATTTAAGCATTGTTGTAAACACAGAAAATCCAAATTTTGTTGTTTTTCTATTAAAAAAGTGTGAAAAAAATAGGGTAAAGTAGAAAAAAATTGTGGAAATCCAAAACAAAACCAAGACAATGGAATTTGGGAAAAGTAGGCATAAAATAAAAACTGATTTTAAAAGGCCATAACAACTTTTTTTGCTGTGCATGACTGCACTTTAGAGTGTGTGTCATCCTGCAGCACAACATTTTGGGGGAAGTTGAGGTCAGGTCCAATACTGACTATGCACCCAAGAGGTTGGGCCATTCTATAAATGTTTTAGTGAAATATAATATAATATATACCATTTGGCAGACACTTTTATCCAATGCGACTTACAGTCATGAGTGAATACATTTTTACTTATGGGTGGTCCAGGGAATCGAACCCAATATCCTGGTGCTGCAATGCTCTACCAAGATGCATGACAGGGTTATAAATGCTTTGTGATGCCTCAATTTAATATCATTTATAAGGCATTTATGAAGCAGTGCTTATGCCACCTTTTATAAAGCACAGGTTTATGTCATATTTGACATAGTGGATTATGTCACATTTTACATTGGTGGTTATGTCACACAGTTGTGCCACATGTATGAACCCTTTATTAAGCATGACATACGGTTATAGATGCTTTGTAACACATTTATGTAGTGCTTATGAAGGCATTATGATGGCTTTATGAGGCCTTTATAAGCTGAACGTCATTTAAAGCAGGACCCATATTTGCATTGCATGTGTCTATCAGTCATACAAGGGAGGGTACGATGGGAAATATTGCATGGTCTAACAACTATTACTACAACTACCTGTTTTCCTCTATATTCCACTTACTTCTCCTCGTATTTACCTCTTCTGTCTATAAACTCTGTAATATTTTTTCTGTTTTGTATTTTCGGTAACACTTTCTATGATGACCAAACGTGTAACGCTTTAAAACACGTCATATAAAGCGGGATCCAAATGTTTCATAAAAGAGTTCTTTATTTCTAATAAACATGTATACATTTTGAACAAAATTGATTGTGTGATGAGCCATGTTTAATAATACAAACTGCTGTACAGAGCTCAGGCGGGGCTGCTAGGTCAGTAAGTACATAAAAGATGCGGAGGTGCCTAAGTTATTGTTTTAGCCATGTAACAAACTATAAATACATCTGCGTTAACATCAACAACAATAAAATGGAACAATACAAAGGGGACACAAAATGTAACATCACAAAACTTGTACAACTCTGAAAAGTATACTTTTTTTAGACACAAAGGACACATACATTGTATGTGTTTAAAAAAAATTTGTAAAGACATTAAAAAAACGAACTACGTCATTCACAGATTCAGCAGTCTGTTTAAATACCTCATTTCAACAAAGGGAATTTACATTTCTTAAAGTACAAAGTGCAAATACTATGGTTTCCATTGCCGATTGGTGAGGGCAGAAGCTCCAAAAGGGGAGGGGAAATCTCGGTTGTCGGCTTAGCCTTGCTTCTTTGAGGGATTCTGAGAAGAGGAAGAACCAAGCACTATAGCAAATTATATCTGTGATACATATCTCACACATCTTTCTCCAAAGTTATTATATCCTGCTTTTCAAAGGCAATGTTAGCACTGCTGGGATCTTATAGAAAAGAGAACATACTGCACTGTAACAGAAAACTGTAATTTATTGTATGTTACGGTAAAATTCACAAGAACCCCAAACCGGAGGCTCAAATGCTAAAATATAAATAATTTATTTGGGCATCATACTGCCCAAAACGTGCAAGGTGCAGAAAAGTGCATAAATAAAAGGTGAAAAATGACAAACATTTTATGTGAATGTTTTATTTTTTCAGTTTTTTTTTACCTAAACACTTGTAACAGACTATTTGATATTAAGGACCTTAAAAGAGAGCAGACGGCCTCCCATTATTTCACTGCTTGGATGTCAACTCTGTCACTTCGATATTTGCTGACCTTATCAGTGCAGCATAAAACACTCACACAAGTAATTACCAGGGTTTACTTACCAGTTTACTGGAGGATGTACCTTCACTTGGTTTGGTCCCTGGAGAAAAACAGTGACATAATCTAATCAGCCTTACATGACGAGAGAAGTGTAAAACTTTACCAGCAGTTTTCATTTATAAAAGCACTTCATAGTAATTTCCGATGAATCTTTTAGCAGCTTATTACAACCTTAGTATTCGTGAGGTCTACCATTCCCAATTGCGTCAGGCAGTATTCCTGGTTGGGAATTCTCTGGGAATGAGAATTGGGAATCTCACCTTCTTCCTTGGTGACTCCCAGGCATCCCATCAGCTCCTGCAGGGACAGAGCCTTGTCGTTGCTGATGTCACAGTACTCCACAAACTTCTTCACGCACTTCTTGGGCTTGGACTTCTTGCGCAGGAAACGTTTAAAAGGCTTGATCTCCTTCTTGCCGATGTCGCCACTGGAGTTTTTATCTAGCTGACTGAAGTACCAGTGGACCACTCTCTCCTCTAGTGTGTGGCTTGGGTCTGGCTCCAACATCCTGTGGATCCACAATTGTTTGATTAATCAATCAATCAGGGAATTAATCCGTTAATGGCCCACTCTGTGATATTTACATCAATTTGTGATCATTTAAATTCATCATATTGTATGATATTAAAGAATATCACTCAGCTTTAAAGTGGCTTGGCTGCAATGTTGTTTATTTTTCTAATTAAGGAGTGGGCTTTTAACAAACCATTTAAATCAATAAAAATCAATGAATAAATCAATCAGTGACATTCTAACCTGCCGGCAGACGCTGGATCTGTGACAGCATGAACCATGTCTGTTGACAGCGCGTCGAGAACACTCGTCAGAAATTCTGTTTTCTTTGCCCCGGGACACCCTGAAAAGGAAAACAAAGGTAGCTGAATAAGTGCATATTCACCTATTATGTGTTTGATTTGTAAAAGAACTTCAACATCGGCGAGTAATGAGACAGAACAATGACTTTCCATTCAATGTCATGCCAGCAATTTTTCAAAGTTGGTGGCCGCCATAAAACCCCAATAAACCTCTGGGAAGGGAAGTAAAATAACAGAGACTGTAGTTTGAACATGAGTAGCACATAAATATGGCAGAGGGGAAAATAAAACCCAACGAGACTCTGTCACACAGAAGAAGATAACTGCCAATCATCCTGGAGGCTCCCAGAGCAAACCTTTCACAGTTTTCACAGCTGTGGGCTACAGACCAGGGGCCCCGGCCCGTGGCCCCCGCGTGACTAACCAACGCCTGGTGCCCTTTCACAGGCAAACTGTAGATATTATTGATTATGATCATCTTAATATTCCCATCCTTTTGGTCTCTATCTACAACATTACCTGATATTATAATCAATATGTGTGTGATGGTCTGAGGATTTGTATTTGAACTTGTAAAAAATGAATCAGTTGAGAAATGTACATAGCCGGTATGTGCCGTATATGTGTCACTGGGTAAATTGGAGTCTCGTCTGCCATTGAAACGAGTTAAACAATTCCATCCAATAGACACCTCCACCTAGCCTTAGCCATTCATCACATGCAGAACAGTAGGGAAAAAACCTCTCCAATATGTACATACATGAGGAGGCAACTGAAGCAAATTACCCTAATGATAGTAAATGTGTGTTAGGCCATAATGTTTTAAGAATAAGGTGCCAAGGTTGTTCTGGAAGAGCTGAAGGCCCGAGAGATTCCTGGACTCTTCCTCCAGGAGTTTTTGGTTTTCTCACAGTCACCCCCTCCATCCCCCATTCCCCCACCCCAACGCGCCGCCTGTGGGAGGAGAAGGAGAAGATTATCCAGGGTTTCTTCTCTTCTTATGACCCAGGCCTACACAGGAGATAATAGCATGCTTGGCCCTTCTCTAACAGGTGGCGACCAGCGCAGGGGTAAACACCCAGCCTCATCTCCTCCTTTCCCAGGTAAAGAGAGAAAAGCAAAGGTGTATGAGCAGCGTAATCGAGGATTGACGAGAGAGAAAAGCAAAGGTTTATCAGCAGCTGAACCGAGGGTTGACGACTCGACTGACTCTCACATGTCTTAACTGTTAGACAGGCCTGGCTGTTTCTGCTCTGAAACTTGCATTTAAATTTGAGTAGGCCCTCAATGGCCCAGACCCAATAAAATATCTAGACTCTCATGACACCGCTTCCCAATAGCTACAGTGCCTTCAGAAAGTATTTACACCCCTTAACTTTTTTCACATTTTGTTGTGCTACAGCCTGAATTTGCCAATTTCTTTTGCAGTATTACTGTAGTGCCTTGTTGCAAACAGGATGCATATTTTTGAATATGTTATTCTGTACAGGCTTCCTTCTTTTCACTCTGTCAATTAGGTTAGTATTGTGGAGTAACTACAATGTTGTTGATCCAGCCCCAGTTTTCTCCTATCACAGCCATTCAACTCTGAAACTGTTTTAAAGTCACCATTGGCCTCATGGTGAAATCGTTGAGCGGTTTCCTTCCTCTCCGGCAAATGAGTTAGGAAGGACGCCTGTATCTTTGTAGTGACTGGGTGTATTGATACACCATCCAAAGTGTAATTAATAACTTCACCATGGCACGAATAGGTGCCATTCTTTGCGAGGCATTGGAAAACCTCCCTGATCTTTGTGGTTGAATCTGTGTTTGAAATTCACTGCTTGGCTGAGGGACCTTACAGATAATTGTATGTGTGGGGTACAGAGATGAGGTAGTCATTCAAAAATTGTTAAACACTATTATTGCACACAGAGTGAGTCCATGCAACTTATTATGTGACTTGTTAAGCAAATTTGTACTCCTGAAATTATTTAGGCTTGCCATAACAAAGGGGTTGAAAACTTATTGACTCAAGACATTTCAGCTTTTCATATTGTATTAATTTGTAAAAATTTCAAAAAACATATTTCCACTTTGACACTGTGTGGAGACCAGTGACAAAACAATCTCTATTTAATCCATTTTAAATTCAGGCTGTAACACAACAAAATGTGGAAACTTTCTGAAGGCACTGTACGTAAACTATGTGGTATGTAAAGTAACAGATTTTGCAGAGGATCTAGCTCTAGTGGTCACACACTTAGTAAACACCTCCTATTAACTGGGGTCTGTACCTACAGTGTGGAAGACCGCGAACATCTTCCCTGTTCCTAGGATCCCCTTTCCTGCAGAGAAAAGTGATTGGAGACCAATTTCTCTGAGATCCTGTCTGGGCAAAGTCCAGGAAAGGCTCATTGTCAAGAAGCTCATGTCAGTTGCTTTTGAGGAATGCAAAAAAACAGTATGCATACTTTCCTAAACACAGCACCACAAATGCGGTGGTCAGAGCATCTGGCTTACAGAGCCAGACTCAAAGCAAACCACAATGGTCCGGGTCCTGCTTGCAGACATGTCAAAGGCTTACCACAGAGAAGGGGAGACAGTACTGACAGATACCTCCGCAACCAGAACCAACAGTCCAGTATTAACGCAAGGACAAATAGGATGAAAAATGCTACTGAAATGTGACTTTTTAAACGAATTTCTTGTAAGCTAGGATCTTTTTTCTTTAATGTAGTATCTTGTGTTTTTAAAGTATTGTCTAAATGTAACTGTGCATTCTGCATAATTCAGTCTTGTCAACTGCGAGCATGAATGAAATAAATCAAATCACATTGGCAGAACGTTATAAGGTTGCTGCTATGGAGAAGAGGCGTCCTGGGGGGCAGGATGGGGTGGTTCGGTTTTGTCGTGCATCCTCGGCCTAAAATATCTTACCCACCTGTTAATGGCATAGCTGGTGCCTGGTGGCCTTATTGTGCATATTTAGTCTAGATGCTCACACAATTGCACCTTCACAAGAAAAAGGGCGAAACAATGTTTTTTTTTTTCAAACTAGTGACTTGGGATTTTGTGGGATAGTTGGAGTTGTTCGTTGGTTTGTGTATATTGAATTTCTGTAATCCTCCAGGAATTCAAATGTCCCTCCAGTTCATACAAATGTTAAGCCTTCAGGTAAAGATCCAGATCCAGCGAGACACTACCAATTGGCAGTAGACGGTGTGTGTGGGTGTGGTCAACTCTTGTCTAGTCGTCCATTTAGCTAAGGGGCAGGACGCGAATGTTCTTGCCATCATTCAAATGAAATTGAGTCTGGACGTTTTCCGTTCAGGCCCAGGCCGAAGCAGTAAATGGTTAATGATTATAATTACGTAATGCCTGACTGACAGATATGGTGCAAAATAAAATTGGGCGAAGTTACACACAGTTGTCCTGCGCAGAACACGAAGACATCTTTGTTTGTTGAAGACCTGCTGGGTTGTCCCTGCTACTATTCATTATGGTTTGATAAACTGTATATCATTTGCTTGTGCGAGCATGCACTGAAGTGAGTGTGTGTGTGTGTTTGTGTGTTTATGTGTGTGTGAATGTGCCTGCTTGCGTACATCCATATGTGTGTGTGTGTATACGGGCCTGTGTGACGTGTGTGTGTGAGCCAGTGTTAATTCCAACAAGAATTAGACGTTTATCCACGTTTCTCCTAACGCCAAATTTAGAAGGTAAAGTTTTAAGGTTTTGGATAGGGTTCAAACAAAAATAAAAAATGAGTGTCCACCACTGGGATCAAACACGCAACCTTCTGATCCAGAGTCATGGGATTACGCAACCTTCGAACCATCGAAACACGCAACCTTCTGATCCAGAGTCATGGGATTATACCCATCCACCAGCCCTGTCCACAACGCCCTAGTAAAACCCAAGCCTACTTGATGATAATAGGGCTCACTGTTGCCCCTAGTGGCCGGTTTCAAAGGAATTTCCCGGCGTCCTCAGGGCATGGATACACGTCCAATTTTGAAGTCACTCTTGAGCGATCTGCCTGGTTAATTCATAAACCCACATGGGGCAAAGCCTTGTCAGTACTCAGTGCAGCAGCTCCCAGGATCAGCCCCCATGGCATCCCTCTGTCCCTCACACTGGCCAAACACCCCCATCCCCTCACACCTTTCAGCGCATGTTGCCCCCTTCTTCCTTCTCGCCCCATAAACCTTTCAACACCAGTGCTTTTTCTTGACTCTCTGTCCCGACACAATTTATAACGAGAGATGGGAGTTATATAGGACAGGGTGCCATGATAGATGTTGTATGCATGTTTGTGAGAGTGTGAGAGTGTGACTGAGTCTTTACGAACAAGCCTCGCTAAGCAGTACTCTACTACTGTGTGTTTCTGATGAATCTAATGTTCTGCGGTTGAGGTCTCTCTCATGGGATGGTTGTAGTTGTTCCCCATCCCATTGCCACCTCCTCAACCACAGAGCACTTGGTTAACAACACATCTCTTCATTAGTTTCTCTCCAGCTTGTAATAAGCCATATTTCACAAATGCTCAACAGGCTCTAGCAGGGCCACAAAATGGAGCATTTTAACCAGATCAGTTATTGAGAACACATTAACAACCTGACCAAGAGGGTGTAATTATATAGTACATAAATTATAGAAAGAGTATGGCAATAGCAAAAACAGTAGGCTACATCAATAGCAGAGAGTGTT